AAAATGTTCCACTATAAAATATGTTACAAAGGTACTTATTTTCTGTGAAGTAGGTTCGAAAATGGTCACGCCGGAACTATTTTTTTGTAACAACTTCTCTTATCCGGCAGTAAAACCAGTATAAAGTTTGCCTGTGTATGATATTTATTTACGCATGCCTCGATCAAAGAGAAAACCAAGCCCTCTACGCGACAATGAACCCTTGTAACAATTCTTTGAAAGTTTTATTGGATGAAGGACAAAATGTGTGTGCCCTTTTCAAACGAAAATCTTAATCTCCCGGCATTTATCCCCCGGTCGACAAACTATGAATAATCTACCTGAGTGATCATTTGTTGTCAAGAATGTGCATAACTTTTATAACTGACTATGCGGTATGGGCTTTACTCATTGTTGAAGGCCGTACGGTGACCTATAGCTGTTAATTTCTGTGTCATTTGGTCTCTTGTGGAGAGTTGTCTCATTGGCAATCATACCACATCTTCTTTTTTTTATATACAAATGTTTGCCAAAGAACCTTCAGTAAACATCTATCAGTCTTTTTTCTTTAATTACTTTATCAACCTTTGAACTGATCCAATATATTTTGGCCTACATACCCGTTATATTATCACGAGCGTACGGCGTCCTCGTAATTAGCAGTATTGCGATTCTCATGAAATTAACTCATTCTTTTGAACTGAAAATATACTTCGTTGATTTTCTATGCCAAGTTTTGTCGTTTTTATTGGGTTTCTGTTAACTATTGGTAGTTTTAAAACTACATGTCTAACAAAGTATAAATATTTTTTAACAAAATTGTTAGAAACGTCAATTTGGTCTACGAGTAATTATTGACGAATTTCGCCTGCATATTCATCATATTTCTAAATAGCAACTATGCAAACTACGATTTCTATGTCTTTATTGATAATGCGTTCGCTAGTCCTTCAGTACAGATTTCATCTTTGAATCGTGTTTTAATGTGTTCCATTGTTTTAATACATAAAAAGAATCGAAATTACCAAATATAATACATTTTGTAATAGACAGTACAACTGATAATAATAACCAAATCCTCTTTTTGTACTTACAGGATGTAATTTGCACATCTAATGATTTTTGGGATCTTCTTTGGCATGACGTATTCCTTGTCATATACTCGCACTACAGTTCATGTATATCCTAAACACTATAGATAAACTACTAACACCATCCGGACATCGAGGCCTAGTCGCTATGTGGTGGTATTCAAACAAATGAAAACTACATTGAAAATTGAGCAAATACAATTAAACATTTGAAGATAAAAACAATAAAACCTCATATTATATACAATTATTTGGGGACATAATTTCATAGGGGATTTTTATCTGGCTGTATACCAGCTTACTATTCTCTGGTGCTTGATGTTTATTATTATTAATTGATTTTGGCTTTTAACTAGCTTTCAGTAACTGAGATAACTCTCAAATCGTACTTTCGTTTTAATTTGACCTGTGGACACTATTTGTAATGCATTTCTGTTATTCAATGTTTACTTATTGTATGTTATATCTCGTTCACTCTTTTTAAAATGTACCACCTTTGATTTGAAGTATATAGTATGATGATACATTTTCACTTCTGTACTCGTACTGTGAACAGCAAATTTGTTTATTTTGTAAAAAGTGTTTCCGTACTCCCAACACCAAAATCATTATATTTAAATTTACCTGTGTACGTTATTTTATTTAGTCACAATGTTTAAAAAGTAAACAATTATAAGTCAAAGAACGGCCTTCAACACGGAACATTGGCCCACACCGAACAGCGAGCTACAAAGGACCACACACTTGCTAGTGTAAAACAATTCAAACTGGAAAACAAACGGTCTAATCTATATAAAAACGAGAAACACTTATGAACCACACCAACAAACGACAACCACTGAACAACACAACTTTTCTATGTTTATATATATTGCCAATGTAAGTACGATTGAACATAATTCATATTGGATTATCTCCCGTTTACCATTTTGACCCAAGTAAGAGTTGTGTGTTTGGCATTGTACCTTCATCTTTTTTTTATATATATTGTATTTATATTGTGTCATAGATCAAGCTTAATCGTTCAGTGTATGTTCAAAATCTATTTGTTTATATGTCTTTTTGATCGAGTTAAGCCATTTCAAGTGATCTTTTATTTTGTGTCTTTTTATGTAGCAATGTTCCACTACTGTTTCAGGTTAGTGTGAAAATCGGTGCCTCAAAAACGTACCATTCAGCTGCATTTGTATACCCCTGTCTTAAGTCAGGAGCCTGTTGTTCAGTGGTTGTCGTTTGTTGGTGTGGTTCATAAGTGTTTCTCGTTTTTATATAAATTAGACCGTTTGTTTTCCAGTTTGAATTGTTTTACACTAGTAAGTGTGTGGTCCTTTGTAGCTCGCTGTTCGGTGTGGGCCAATGTTCCGTGTTGAAGGCCGTTCTTTGACTTATAATTGTTTACTTTTTAAACATTGTGACTTGGATGGAGAATTGTCTCATTGGCACTCATACCACATCTTCTTATTTATATTTACTATGATGCATGGGTTTTGCTTAAGGTTACTGACCGTACGGTGACGTATAGCTGTTATCTTCTACGTCATTTTGTACCTGGTGGAGAGTTGTCTCACTGGCAATCATATACACAACTTTTTATGTTTATATATATTGCCAATGTAAGTACGATTGAACATAATTCATATTGGATTATCTCCCGTTTACCAGAAACACATCTAGAATTACTCAAATGTTCAATCGTCCATTTCAAGTGCTTTTTAAGCTTCTCTCAGTTATAAGTAATGTATCATAAATGTAAAAATTGGTTGTGTGTTCTAGTCCCGCTTCATCAAGGTGCGTTCGACTCCAATCTGAAATGACTAGGATTGCTACCTGCCAAAGATGGATGGTCACCTACAATACTCCGGCTACCAATAAATTAACCATTCAAAAGTCTGGACGTCTCTGTTGTGATATAACAACCCCAGTACGTTTATTCCTGCTGCTTACACTCTCGTTGATATAAGATGAACATGTAAATAAAAACTTCCCACTTAACATCACAAATTTCCCATTTTAAATCCCAATTCATATCTACCAATTTATACCTCTGTATTTTTTTTTCTGACTGCTCTTTTACAACCCTAGAGAAAAGTTATTATAAAAGTGTGAAACAAAGTTGTAAATATATTTTTGGTTGATGTTTTGGTATGTAGGTAGATAGAAAGGATGCAAGGGACAGACGGACGGACATAGAGATCTATACGGAGTTTCTGAAATTATCCGTAGAAATCAGCAGTTAAACGATTAATTTTGCAATTACCTTCTGATATTTTTAAGTGATTAAGTGTTCAAGCCCTGGAAAAGACTTTTGTAATTACATACATGTATTTGTTTTTATAGAAAATGGTTTTGCCTTTTTGTAAGTTGCTTTAGCTTGATGCGTTATCTCAATATTTTTTATCCGTGTTCATCCGTAGCATTTCTACTTGACAGACAAAGAAAGTTGTCGCTCTTTATATGTTGATGTATGCATATCAATATTCTGTAAACTTCGAATTTCCCGATAAGTTTTTGAAAAAAAGATGTTTGTGTTTTGTGAATGAAGTATAATATTTCAATCTGAGTTTTGTACATAATATATAAGAGGCGATTTCCAGTATAAAGTATATTCTCTTATACTTCAATTTTTATTAAAAAAATAGTAACACTGGAAGTTTATTAATAAACAATCATTATATATGTATTATATACTTGAGGGAATAATGGCCAAATACATGTCGAACGCATATATTAAATACTCTGTGACCCCTGGAAATCATTTGTATGGAGCTGGAGGACTAATTGCTGCCTAGTTGACATGTGCACCTTTTTGTTACAATGATTTTTCAGTATAGATGAAGATGACAAAAACAAAAATGAGTTGCTGTCTAAATCTTTCGTCGATCTGTATCTTTTAATGTAAGTCAGATCGATATTGATATATAACCAAATATAGAAACTTTTATTTAGTTTAATACTAGAACATGTTTTTAGCAAAGCCTTGTTAAAACACGTGTAACGGTTTGTTTTAAACACAACACTTTTCAGCACGACACACGTACAGTGCCAGTTTAATGGATTTACAATTATGTATTGTTTTTTTATTTCAATTTTAATCGATTGAGAATTGTAGCCGACTATATTTCATTTCCACAAAGTATATTTTACCTGCAACCATCTTTTTGTATGCATATTCCTGTTGATTATGAAACTTCAAGTGCCAATTTTGTGGCATCTTGTCACTTAACGTGTCCTTTATACTTCAACTGCTATGCATAGATAGAAGAATGTGTGATTTGATTTTATTTCAGATTGAAGTTATTGATAATTAGAGCCACTGAGGTACACTTTGACCTCAAATAATTTTTTTGTTGTGTACAGATTCGTGTATGATTATGAAACTTCAAATGCCAACATTTTGAATCCAGGCATTTTACGTATTTTTTTAACTTCAACTGTTTGGTTTTTTTTTAAATTTCAAGATCAATGCGTGCTTTTAAATAGCTATTGTATTTATAAAAAAGTCAAAATTAATCCAACAAATTCAGCAACACCATAATATATGTATAATTCCTTCTCAAATGTCTGGTTGCCAAACTACCTTTTAGATTACTAAGCAAAACGACTGTATCAAATATCAGCATCCACAGGTAATTGTACGTTTTCTAAACAATTGTAAATGTAATGTTGAAAAATTCATAAATTGTGCATTGACATTCGGTAAAACTATAGCATTATTATTGATTGCATATAACTTTGACATTGTAAACATGCAAGGTTGGAAAATTGTAGTTATGACCACTAATGGAGCTAGTTCATTATTCATTAGTATCGTCATATCTTGTTCTAGCCATAGAATTTGTTAAATACCTTTCTTGATGATGAATGACATTAAAACTGGAAAGTGACTTAATAATTGATATACAGGTATTTTGTCCTAAAGAGACTCTGAAGTAGAAAATGTATTTTATTCATTTTATTTTACAGAAAATATACAAGCAACATGATATACATAAATGAATTAGAAATGGAATTATAATATCACTAATTCTTTAACGAGAGTACACACGGGGAAATGTCTAACCTGTTTAATTTGATTCATTTCATGTTAACATTCTATTAGATACTCATTATATCCTTTAACTACGAAAAAAGAAAATAACACTTTAAAGAATTGTGCGTCTAAATGGCTTTTATGGATTAACCTTCATCAGGAACGCCCAAAGCCAAAATTATAAAGCTAAAAATGTATTAGTACCAAAACACGGGAAAAACTGTTTGACCCAGAAGGTATCTAAAAATAATAGCAAAACCATCAAATGTCAACTTTGCATGAGGGAGTTGGAACTTCAGTTTCTTAATAATTTCTAATTTCACGAACGAACAATTTAAGAAAGGCATGTTCTATATTTTAGTCTAAGATGCATGATTTTTTTCATTAGTTGTTATTGGCTTTGAACTAGTTGTATGTAATTGCGAGTACTCTCAGATCTGGACTTAGTGTCTTTCTGTTGTGTTGATGTGTAAGTACCCATCCACGTCCTATTTGTGTTTTTGGTAGATGTATTTCTATTTGTATCCATCTGATGAGTTAAGCCTTTATCAACTGATTTTTTATGTAGTGTTCTCATGTTGTACTGTTACACCACTGTCCCAGGTTTGGGGAGTGTTGGCGCCTTCAAACGAGTTTAACCCCACCACACTCTACATATGCCTGTCCAAAGTCAGGAGCATGTAACTAAGTAGCTGTTTTTTTGCTGTTTGTCATATTTGTTTTTCGTTTATTGTTTTGTGTAGTGTCTACTTATTTGTGCTGTGACCCACCACTGTCCCAGGTTAGGGGGAGGGTTTTGCGCCATCTAACTAGTTTAACCCCACCACATTTTGTATGTGCCTGTCCCTAGTCAGGAGCCTGTAATTCAGTGTTTGTCGTTTGTTGCCGTGTAACATATTTGTTTTTCATTCATTATTTTGTACATAAATAAGACCGTTAGTTTTCTCTTTTGAATTATTTCACATTTGTCATTTCGTGGCCTTTTATAGCTGACTCTGCGGTATGGCTTGTGGAGAGTTGTTTCTTTGCCAATCATACCACATCTTCTTATTTGTATATATTATAAATCATGCGGGTGCAAAAGCAGACAACTAAGCTGATGACACCCTCGGGAAGTAGTAGTCCCCCAGCAGCCTTTATGACATAAATGTGACACCTCAAGTGACCTTTCTAAACCAAAGTATCCAAATTATATTAACCTATTCAGTTATGCAAAAATAACATAATTTTGAAATTCTTGAACAATATTACTATTTTTGCAATTTCAGGGCCAAGTAAGGGCTCTTATCATACCTCCTACTTTACAAAAATATAGAGTATTGCCTTATATTAGAACAAATAAGTACATGGCTATGAAAAGCATCGATAATATAAGATATAAACAATTTTACTCATAGAACACACAGTATACTAATTAATAATATGTTTTTATAAATATGAGTAAATGAGATATCATTTAACATTAAACAGGCTACTTAAAAACATTCATGTATCGTCTACGAATAATTATAACATTTCAAACAATCATTTAATTAGATAGAAATTATCAATAACAGATAAACTGAACCTATTGAAATTGTATTTTATAGCTGACTATGCGGTGAGAAATGAATGGATTCTGATTACTTTTCCATGTCGTGAAAAGAAATCACATTAAAACAATTGATTTTTACATAATACGAAAGAATATAGTGTACTATTCATGACACAAAATCACCATTTACTTTCATTGATAGTTGCTTCTTTTTCCTATTCTCCATTTCTTAGTCACAACAAGGTCTTCAATGTTCATAAAACTCTAAACTTATTATTCGGTCGATCACAATACAAGATGTGAAATATTATCAACGAAACATAAATTATATTTGAACTTTCTCTTCAGGAGGTAATTCAAAAATGAAAATAAGGTCAAGGTCGACCTCCATATGACAGGCAGTTATTTCCGACCATAAATCATCTGTTTAAAAAAACGCTCTTCTAATTCTTTAACGCCCGAACATACATATGGCTCACATTCTTCTTATTTCGTCTCACGCAAGACATTATTTTTTAATTTCCATAAATTTACAAAAAGACATGATACTTCCTCAAGAGTTAAATCAGAAAAATAATAATTAAATTATTATCTTTATCATTCTTATGTCAGATATAAAGAATCGTAGTCTCGTGAGACAAAGTATATACATTAATGACAGTTTGAATGAAATTATATATGATAACACATGTTTAAATAACATTGGATAGGTAACCACAAAACATATAGTCTACGAAAAACTTCTATATTTCAAACAATTATGTAATTAAATGACATTATTAGTAACAAATATGACTTAGGCTATTGAAAAAATATGTTATGCAAAAACCATGTAAGCAGTGGATGGATCCTAATTACTTTTCCATTTTGTATTTTTCTTTTTTTTTCTAATCTACGATATCAATGCTTGCCATTACTGGTGCAGGGTCAGCTTACCCTTCTGGAGCACCTCATATCACCCCAAAATTCTAGTTGATTCGTCTTTGTCGTTTTTATTTATTGTATCCTTTCGTTTTATGAGTTTTTAATGCATCCTTCTTATGGGGGGTTGGGGGGGGGGGGGGGGCTGGGGGGTGGTTATTCCGCTCTTTTGTAGAATTGCATTCCATATTTTAGACAATTCTTACATAGATATAACTTTTTTTTTATTTTTTCATTATCAGTATTAGCAATTTATTATCCACTTCTTATCTACCAAAATATAATAAATAAATAAATAAATATACAATTTGGTTATTTTACATTATTTTGATGATATGTTCTTTTCATGGTGATTCCGTGGCATGAGCCTTTTTGTAATATTTATATACGTTTTCCTTATGTTCTTCCTTGTGTGTAACTGACACTCATCTGTATTCATGCACTGTCATTTTACATCCCAAAATATTTCCCCAAAGCAGACAAATAAATATTTTCTGCTAGTTAGATTTGTCAATATGCATGTTAGAGAGAGTCAACCATTTACTACTCCATTGGTGGGGCGAAGAATGTTAAAAATAACTATTTTAAGAACTTGATAAAAAGACACTTGTCAATGAAAATTATTATTCTGCACAACAAAATGTAGGACATTGTTGTGTCCAATAATGCAAATAGATAATCAATACTGCCATATTTGCAACACGTGAGAATGAATATTCCATCAGCAAACAACCCCCCTCCCCGTTATATGATTTTAGACTGAAATTATTGAAGTTTGTATATATATCATAAACACCCAATGACTTAAGTATATTATTCAACAGGTTATTTCTGTTGTTATTGTCAATGAGTCCCTTTTTACATTACTTTTAAAGCGACAGTTGTGTGTTGTCCAGGCACTCCTGACGTCCTATTGGCATCATGTGGCCTTTTTCGATTCTAAAGTGGGATGGGTACTCTCAAACAGCTATGGCATATTTAAAATTGTCAATTTTTGTATATATGATTGAATACAAAATTTATTCCTGATAAAAGAATCAATTTTTTATTTTTAAACAAAAGAACCCCTCCCCTTTTGAACAACTTTGCATTCATCAATGATATTGCATTAAACACATGTATACTAAGTAGTATTGTGAAACTTCATACTGATTTGTGTGCTTTAACACTCTGTATTAAATGGACATTGACTACACTGTTAGACATATTGTTTAACTGCAATGTTGACATATTGCAGTTATGACAACTAACTGAACTCATACATTATATATTATTATCATCACATGTTTTAGATTCGTAAATTTGTCAAATAATTTCCTATTTAGATTTCTAGTCAATAACAATAAACATTATATCATATGTTTATTCAAGTTGATAAAATTGTATTTGAAGTCATGTTGCAAATCAAACTAAATGCAAGAACGACAATAGAAGATGTATTTCACAATCAATATTTAGGTATAAAAAACATACAATTCAAAATGAACATAATTCAAATGATTTAAAAATAAAGGAGTATCTCTGATTACATATAACAACCTTTTTGTCGATGTCACTGCTAGTGGGCGTTTCCACCGTCGGCATCACCAGCCTAGTAGTTAGAACTCGTGTGCTGACATGAAATCTTTGAAAATTTGCTGTTTAAGATAATGTAAAAATTCTTTCAAAACCCTTTTTTTTTTTAAAGAAAACAACTAGTTTATAAAAGATTGCTAATGTAAGATGTCACAGAAGCAAGGGCTCGAATTCCCGCTGAGGAAAGAACTAAAATTTGCTAACGAAAATTTGAGATATAACATTGTTAGTCTAACTTTGGGACGAATTATATATGTATAAAGACATCTAGTATAATATAAGTGTATTAATGTATGCTAAATTGATGAATATGAGTAAAAGGAGATACGATTAAAACAGCATTGAACCTAACAACATTTAAGAAACGTCTACAAAAACTGCAATACTAAATAAAAAAAATAATAAAAGTAACACATAAAACTAAAACTATTGAAAAATAGTTTGATATCTTATTAAAATGACTTCGTAGAGAAATTGACTGATCCCATTACATTTTACGTTTTCATTACTTTTGTTTCTTTTGTAGGATGTCAATGTCAGATAATTTGCAGCTTTTCTCTTCTGATGATATTTTCAATTTTACCATTCTTATGATTCGAATAAAAACATCGAAAACATGTTGGGTACTTTTCTTTTCTTCATTAAAATCGCATCATCACTGGTCCCATAACAGTATTGTTTAACTATACATGGAAACCAGAATTGTGGTGAAAACAAGGTGGAAATACTCCTTTCCCAAAGTTTAAGTTAAAATTTCACTCTACTTTGTGTTCAGTCCATTTCCTCCGCAGTCCTCTAAATCGTCAAATGTATTCAGTATTTCACAAACAAAAATAAATTTGATTGATTGAATTGAATGATGATTTATTGATATTCGGGTTAAATGATATGCATCTACACGATTAAGATTATTACAAATTGGTTCTCCAAAAGGGAACAAATGTCATGAAAAGCAGGATTTCTTCAGCCACTTGAAAATGACGGTGATTTTTGTAAGAACATTTTTTTCCTTGCAACAGGCAATCCGAAGATCTCTCAAAGAGTTGTTGCAATGTTGTTATAACGTGTAAATAACTTTGCATCTCCTTCCACTATTTCGACAGGATAAAGACGCGTATATATATACATTCCGCCCAACAAAACTGACACACTTTTCATCTCTTTTGGATTGCAAAGAAAATTGTTAAATAGATACTGACAAATGATGTAACCGTGATTATTTCATATAATCGACGTAAAAAAATGCTGATCACATCGCTCATTAAGTGGCATAACTAATTTTGTCATTGGTTAGCTCTGTCGAAAAGTTTGAAAATACTATGATATAGCACGATGGAATTTCCAATTATATATACCAAACATCAACAAATGACCCTCTTGAGTACAAAGTTTTTCGTAATATCCGTATCATAATTCTACTTATATTCGACCCTGCCCAATCACTTTCACCAATAGGATTTATATCACAATCTTAATGTACATACAATTATTACGAAAGTGATATGCTACTGAAATAAAACAAAATTACAAGAAATATAAAGAACCAGAAAAGACAATTATGTAACGCTTTTAAGACACACAAATTGTATAAAAACAAAGTGTAAAGTTTGTATGACTTTGATATACAGGTAGTTCAAATATTTCACTTAACTTTTTTCTCCGTTTTTCGATTTAAAATATCTTCAGCACTTTGAAATATAAAATGGGTTATATAGTTCTCAATGTAACTTTCGAAAAATTGGAGATATGATTTCGCCGTCTGGATCAACTTCATCGGTGAACAAGCGGCACACATGCGCAGTATTATCATAATGGAAGGCTTCGCAGTCGTCATCCTTGTAACATCGGGAATAGCATTCGTCCTCTGAGTTAACCTCAACAGACATCTTCATAACAAAAGCTGGACATTTCGTTCTAAGTGTATAACGTTTACAACTGTCACAATGAGTAACTTTACATGATGTGTCCTCTTGGTATTCTAAAATATATATAAAACTGGAGTTACTATAGTGTCTAGCATCAACTACTTTAAATGCTACTAATTACACGATACTCCCGGGTGCATTTCCCATGTTTCGGACTAATCAGGTATGAGTATAATGCATTTGTAAAGGAAAATGGGTATCACTTTTTATATTTTTTTTTAAATTTTTTTATCATTTGACTCGTGTGGACTGAACATTCTTTTCCCATGTATATTATTAGTTATCTTGGTATAATCAGGGGTGTACAGAATTTTACACCGGTGTGGAAAATTCATACACCCTGCGGCTCAGCCTTAGGGCGTATGCATTTTCAAAACCGGTGTAAAATTTCGTACACCCCTGATTACGCCAAGATAACAAATTTATTTTTTACGAAGCGTTCCTTTACTCCTTTTAAAACTGAGATGTAAACTGAAAAATGTTATTGAAGAATTTCCAGTGCAATATTTTTTCAACACTGATGTTGCTGCGTATTGTCAAATACTTTTCTTTCTTTATTTTCTGGAAATTTGGATTTTTTTGTTTTCTAATTTTTGGGGTAAACATTTTTTTTCTATTTTATGTCCTCATACATGTATTCATTTATTATCTATTTTCTATTTTTAAATTTTGGAAAAAAAAATTTGCATTTTCATTTTTTTTCATTCTTTTTTTTTTTTTAATGTTGGCAACATCTTTTTTTTTATAGAATTTTTGGCAAAATTTTATTTATCCCCGGGTGAACAAGGATGTATTATTTACACCCGGGTAATTAACCAATCAGATTGCAGGATTTTTGCTGCATAAGAAATAAATATGTTTGCATAAGCAGTGCATGGTGTTGCTGTTGATAACTTTATACTGGGTTCGAATCCAAAAAAGGGAACAATATAAATGCGTAGTTGCAAAAATGCAATCCATCATTGTAAGGCGACATTCATGCTGAAAAAAGTATATTGTTGTGTAAACATCATCATCCGTTTATTAAATAAACAGCATATACATGTTAGTTTACCAACACTATGTAATATACAGAATGATGAAATCACTACACTTAAAAATTTCATAGCTCTCTATAAAAAGTCTAGCATAAACTACTTTTAATGCTACTAGTAATAAGATACGCCCGGACAGCTTCCCTTGTTTCGACCTGATCAGATATGAGTATAATCCATTTGTTATCGAGCATGTGTTTTATTCAAGTTATTTGTTAGTGGGGCTTTTTTTTTATAGTAAACATGAGATGAGTCAAAAATGAAACACGTTCCGTCGCAAATTACAACTGCATAATATATGCCTTTCTGAAAAGTCGAAACAGTCCTTTTTTTATTAATTATTATGGTATATCTGTGTATAACTTATATCGCTGTACACGGTGTCTTTTTAGAACAATAACAATCTAACATTTACATAAACATGATAAAGATATGAGATTTGACTGTATTATTTGATGGCTATCGGATTACCAATTAAGGTACGACTTAACTTTGCAAACTTTATATACCTTTCACTCACAGTTGGGTTTATTTTCAAGCTTTTATATAGTCGTTATAAAGTTTACTCTATGTTTACACTTTTGTTTATAACACTTTATATGGAATGTATTTCAAAATATCTTCTGATCCTTTACAAAAAAATGAAAACAACACGTTATAGATTAAATGCTTCCGAAGCGCTTTTCTTGATTCACCTTCATGCAAAATATACAAAAATTAATAAATATGTCTGAAAAGATGTAAACAATAAAATAATTTCTGCATAAATGGATCTTGAACGGATTTCAATCTCTAGTAATATGAAACAGAATATACACCTTATTATTGAAGCCTGATTTTTATAAGGTCGATGTGGTCAAATGGGCTTGTGGGATGTGATCTTTGTATGTGCTGTTGCCACTGATGCTATAAAAAATAGCCACATAAGTAAAACGACCCTCCTGTGCTGTTGAGACCCCATTAGAACACGCTTTTTGCCAGCTTCAAAAATATAATTTGATTTCTATCACTGATTAGCCATGATGTTAAGAAATTTACAGGCGGAGAATAAATATAGTTTTAACTTTATAAACCAGATATAATCCAGAAGGGGATACATATTATAAGGTTTGTCGTATATTTTGATATTTATACGTCTCTTTTTTTCTAAGCCACATTTAATCGATTGTAACGTTGCATTGCCATTATGGACAGTATCCAGTAATCCGTGGAACCAGGAATATCTCGAATGAATTGAATACGACTGAAACACATTTTATTGATGGATTGATATTTTAGTGACATTTTGCAATGGTTGTCTATCGAATTCAATAGGTTTTAAAATTATTGTACTTTCATTTTTTTTTTTTTTCCTTTTTATCCTTTGACTTGTTAGAAATGAACATACAACTTTTACGATATATATGTATATATTTGGAGGCACAGTACATGTGATGCTGTTGACAATTTAACGGTTTTGTTTGAATCCAACAAGGAAACATTATTAATGTATAGGTGCAAAAAATGCAATCCACTATTGTAAGGCTTATTTCAAGTTGAAAAATTATATTGTTGTGAAAACTCTGAATAGCAATTGCCTCAGCCACCAAAGATATCATAGAGTTGTTACAAGAACAAATATATATATATATATATAAACAATATTTAAGACTATCTGACGATCAACATCCTCATCCCGTTTATTGAACTGCATGTTAAAGTTGCCTTTAACAACACGTTTGTGTAAACTTGGTTAATCTACATAAGTATTGAAGGATTTAAAAATTCAACTTAGTACAGCATGTACAGATAATTTATCATATTAAAATTTAGATTCAACGATATCGATTTCTTTCCATTAACAGATTTACAGCAGTTACCGAGTTTGTTCATTTGTATGGAAACGCATATTAGTATGGAAACGTATATAAGTCACCAGTTGATCAGTTCTCAACACAACTTGACGACAAAAACAAGTGGAAATGTTGCCTTGTTATAGAACTTGTACAGTTAAACAAGTTTACTTGTTTAATTAATAATTCAACTTGTAGACTTACGACAAGTTGACTTGTTGAGTTCTTCCGAACAAGAGCACAAACCAAAAAGTACACAAAATGTTATTGTGTCCTAGTACACTTTGCCGTTTGTACACTTGTTAAATTGAACGTTTCTTTCTTGCTTTATAAAAGTATACCCTCCAAGATATTCAAGTTAACTTTTCGTGTTGTTCCTCGCTTTGCCGACATGGTATAAGTTCATTTGTATTGTTTTTTTTATGAATAAGTCAAGTTCACTCATTTGAACTTGTTAAGAAAATATCGTTGGTTTACTTGCGCAAAGTAAACATAATTTTCATATTGAGCGCGAAATTATCATGAAATTTTGATTTTATAAATACATAATTTGTTTTCATGAATACATATTTAATTGTTTTTTTTATGTAAACCTATTTGTTTTTATGAACATATATCTTTTTTTTTTAAGAACAAATACTTATTTATGAACATACATTTATGTTGTATGCATATGCTTATAAATATGTATATTTTATTTTGAGAACACATATTTAGTTAGGATCAAAGAGAGGATTGCATTCGCATTTTGTCACTTGACAGGTGCATATATTTTCAAAAAAAGTAAGGGTATTTTAATCTTTAACCTTCGTTTATACTTTATTAAAACAAACTCATTTATGATTTGTTTCCTTCATCAGATAATACACTGTAATTACATGTCACGCATCATCAGTAAACGCACGAGATTATGAAATAACTGGGGGTCTACCCATCCCAGATATTCCAACGACCATTATTCCTATACCTCCTTAGTCCAACACCTCAATATCCCGACGCCGCCTCATTTTCCGAGACCCCATTGATCCGACACCCCAATACTTATCGGACTAATGGGGTGTCGGACTAGTAGGGTGTTGGACTAACGGGGTGTCGGAATATCAAGGCTTCCCCTTTATTAGTCCTATATTGCTCTAGTTGTCAAGTTGGTTACTTATTCCTTATTTCTTATTCGTTACCTACTCGTTACTTATCCCTTACTCCTTATTCGTTACCTATACTATTCTATACTTATTCCTGATTTCTTATTCGTTAATTATTCGATTTTAATATGTTTCCCCTTTCAATGCTTTATTTATTATCTCTGGTAACAGTTCTTTGTTTATCGAGTGAAAAATTACCCTTTTAGCGCGTAGGTATCCGATTTTGCGCTCGACTGATCCCCTGTTACTTATTCGCTACTTATTATGAAAATGAAGATGTGGTATGATTGCCAATGAAACAACTCTCAACAAGAGACTAAATGACACAGAAATTAACAGCTTTAGGTCACCGTACGGCCTTCAACAATAAGTAAAGCCCATACCGTATAGTCAGCTATAAAAGGCCCCGAAATCACAAATGTAAAACAATTCAAACGAGAAAACTAACGGCCTAATTAATGTACAAAAAAAAAAATTAAACGAAAAACAAATACATGTATGTAACACAACAACAAACGACAACCACTGAATTACAGGCTCTTGACTTGGGACAGGTACATACATACAGAATGTGCCGAGGTTAAACATGTTAGCAGGATCCCAACCCGCCCCCTAACCTGGGACAGTGGTGTAACAGTACAAAATAAGAACGAACTATACAAATCAGTTGAAAAAAGCTTGACTCATCAGATGGATACAATTAGAAATATATATAACAAAAACATGTGGACGTGACTGGTACTTGTACATCCAAACAACAAAAAGACACAAAGTACAGATCTGAGAGTACTCGCAGTTACTGACAGCTAGTTCAAAGCCAATAACAACTAATATAAAAAAAAATGTGCATCTAAGACTAAATTATCAATCAGTACCTTAGTCCTTATTCAATTTTTATACGTTTCACCTTTGTATTGCTTTATTTTCGTGTCTCTGGTTTTGGTTTTTGGTTCGTAGGGGTGAGATTACCCTGTTAGCGCGTATGTACCCGTTTCAGCGCTCGACTGAAACCCTGTTACTTATTCGTTCCTTATTCACCTTATAT